GGATTGAATTAACTATGAATTAAGTCCCCTAGTGATTATTATATACCTACTATTTGCTTATCTGATACAGGCCCAGAGCTGAGTATACATTTCCTTATCATAAGGAGCTGCCTCTAGGAGAAGCTGACATCTCCCTTGGGTTCCCCTGTTCTCTTCTTCTCCCCCATCCACTCCCTCTTCAGCTCAAGGAGGGAACATGCTACTCCTCGGGGGGACCCATCCTATGCAGGGCCACATTCCATGAGGTCTACCTCGCTCCAGAGTTTCTCTTGACCTCTCCTCAGACTAGTAGTCAGGTGCTGGCCTGGAGTTGCTCTCAGTGGGGAGAATCCTTAGGCGTCCCACCTTTTCCTTTTGTGGCCAGTGGTTAAAGAGGAAGGCTCTTCTCCCCGGAGGAACATCTGTCTCATCTCTTATCATACCTTTGATTTTTGCTGGCTGTTAAGACTCAGGGCAAAACGGAGAGCAGTCCCCACATTTGAAAGGGGTAGATTACACACTCTGTTTTAAATTTGGGGACAAACTCACTCCACTTTGCTCTTTTTCCTGCCTCTAGCCTAGGCAAAAAGACTTATTTGCATGCTTTGCATAACTCATTGGAGAATTTATTGTGATCTGGAGTAAAATTCCTAACTTGTAATAACCTGTTTTGTGCTTAATACATATATTTCACTAGAAGCCCTTTAACAGAGAGAGGGCTGTTCTAGGACATGTTTGAAACCTGAACAGGTATTTGAGACTTGTTCCATAGCTATGTATCTCGATATCTATGAATCGTTATCTCCATGTCCAGTTTGTAATGATTTACCTAAGTCGGAATTCATTGTGGCTTGGATAACTACCCTATTGGGCAATCAATATATAATATATATGGAGAAAAATATTTAGCAGTTTATGAAGATCGGTAATATATTTCTATACGTAGTTTCCATGGGCAATCTCATCTTCACTATAAAGCTGTTCACGATCTCCTTTGCTTCCTTCATAAAGAACTCAATTTTCTAGTTATGTTGAACCCTTTTCCGTTTCTTCAGCATCCCTTTTTATGCTCTAACTCACCTCCATATCTTTGTGTATGTTGTTTCTTCTGTCTAAAATAGTCTTCACCAGCTTCTTAACTTGACTAACTCTACATGTCTAGTACGCAGCTCTGACATACATGGTCTGGGAAGACAGCTTTTCCATGCCCCGCCCCCCAACTCCCTGCCACTAACCACCCCCACATGCATATATATGTGCATGTTACAAGCACATATGCGTATATAAATAAACCTTCCTCTGTGTCCTAATTGCCTCTTGTGCATGTATTTATCACAAAACCAACACATTCTACTGTGTTGTCTCATTCTCCACCCCCTGTTATAAGGTGAATTCCTTTTAGGTATACTGTGTCTTCCAGCATTAAATCCCAGTGTTTTTCAAAGTGTTTAGTATATAAAAGCATTTCATTGAATGTTTGTTTAATGAATAAATATTAAAAGAGTAGAGAAATAAGTGTGGTTTGGAGTAGGACGATTAGGAAGCTGGGTGTTAAGCCAGATTTTGAAAGATAAGTAGTACTTGGATCAGTATTTCAGGAAGAGAAAGATGGACAAAGGCAGAGCTGGGATAGAAAGACAGGAATGAAGGAAACAGAGAAAGAATGAAGGAAGGGAAGGAGGGAGGGAGGGAGGAAGGAGAATGGCATCAAAAGACGTCAGGTAAGGAGTGGTAGGAGATTGAAGAGACCCAGTGCATTCTAAGAAGCCTGGCTGCTGGGCTGAAGAATATAGGTTTAAATCAATAGGTAATAGGGTTCCATAATTGGAGATTTGAAGTATCCGGCAGTGAAATAAATAGGTTGGAGGAAAACCTAGAATTATGAGTGACAGTAGTAGGACTATAAACAAAAAGGAGGGGGGGATGAAAGTTAATAAAGAAAACAAAGATAAGTGTAATTTGTTAGTCTTCTTATTTGGAAAATAATATTAAGTATATTAATACTCAAAGAATAAAGACTTTATATTTGCAGTGGACTTATTTTCCCTGAAGCTAATTGGTTAATTTTAATTTTTGCTTCCTGAGACCCCTACCAATTCTCCTCTAACTCTGCAGACATTCAAGTAATGACTTGTTTGTATATATCACTGTATCTCCACATTGAATTTAAGAATTTCTGCCAGATCTGTATCTCTGATGAGATTTTAAAAATTAACAGGCAAACCCATATCATCTTCTCTAATGTGATGTTCAGTTAATTGAAAAGTACACACTGCAAGCATAAAGCACATCTGAATATATATTTAAAACTGGTAAAGATACCATTTTAAAAGTAAAATTGACCATTATCTAAACTTTGGTTGTAAACTCAATTGATTTCTAGGGTTTTCATAGCTGTTTATACTTTTATAGAGCAAATTCTATTTGAGAATTAAATAATTTCTTCTGAATTTGAAGACAAATTTTAAAATATTATTTATAAAACATCTAAATATTTTTCAATGTATATACATATATACACATACATGTGTGCACTTAAGAATATGCATTACATGTTACCTTAATGAAACATTATGGCTCAATGAAATTAATATTAATTCATGTGCAGGGAAATACCTAGTCTTTCGGCCTTGTCTTCTCAGCCATCCAGTCCCTTGAGAAAGCAAATTTTGTTCAGACACAAAAGAAAAATGTACTATTAAAATGCAATTCAGAAGTGGTAAAAAGTTTAAGTACAGCAGCCAGCTTACAGCACCTCCTCTGTATACTCAGGGACATTGGGGCCACATTAATTTTTTGTATGTGTGATGTCCATCCCATGTGCAAATTAGCACTGGAAGGACCATAATCTGTCTTAAATGAGAGCTCTTTTCTCAAGAGCATATATAATACATGCCTGTGTAATTTTGTATAATTCAAAGCTCTGTATTCTGTTTATTTTTTATCTTAAATAGGCTTAGAGAATATTTTCTTAGGAAAAATATTTAAAAGGAGTTCCTTAATAAACATTAAAAAGAAATCGTAAAGAGGTGTGAAAATTGATGAAATAACACCACATTTCCTAAACTTATTATTTTTTAAACAAATTTATGAATATAATGGCAAAATCTTTTTCAATTGAACTGAGATTTTTGAAAAGGCCCCTTCTTTGTCTTAATTAAATGAGATAATATATGTGAAAATATCAGCATATGCTCAATAAATTTGTTGAACCTCAACTTTATTGTTTCAACGTCTGAATTTCAAAATATTTTTCTTGGCGGAATATTTAATTTAGCTGTATCTATTTATTTCCCAGAGCTTGCTGTTTCCCTCTAAATGTTTCTTGTATTTAAAACGGGATCTAGCTCTAATTTCATTGACACCATGTCTCCGTTGATTATATTAATTAGAATTTTCTGACGTTTGCTCCTGTTTCCTATATTATATGTTTCCTCTAGGTTATCTTTTATGTTTAGATATATGTCTTTCTTTCATGTTGGTAGTTTCCCCAATTGGTAATCTATTCTTAAATTCATATTAAAAAGGAGACTCTAAAAATCGGTTTAAAAAGTTTGTGTGTGAGAGTGGCTTTTTGACTGATAAACTTTGTTGCACTGTGATATAACCTTTTAGTTAAGAGATCTCCAAATGTTGATATTTGAAGTTGTTTCTCTGGGCGCTCTCAGTATCTTTTGAGATGATATAATTACTCTTCTGAAATCTGTTAGTCCAGCTCCCAGGTTACTTCGAGATGAGCAAGGGAAGATTTCAATGAGTAGTCTTTGAATTAAAATTCATATATTCCATTTGGTGCCTCACTCTGGCCTTCCATGGTTCCTGCTTTCCCTGAGACCAGAGCTCTCCGGTATAAAGTTTTCTGAGAATACACTATTTTTTTGGATACTTGGATTGAGAGAGGAACCTGGGTATTTAATTATTCATGGCATAGGTTTTTCACCTGTCTTCAGCCTTATTCTTCACTGTCACCCACTGCAGTAACTTCTAGACTCTTCCAGGATTCTGCAGGACTAATGGCTTCATTTCTCTTTGGCCTCTCTCTCTTCTGGAACTTAGATTTCAGTTTTTAAATTTTCTCTCTGCTTTCCACCTGCCAAAATGTTAGCATTTTCATCTTCTATTTTTTCTCTTTTGTCCTCTTTCTTGTGAGTTTACAAAGTTTTTTATTCCTTTACTTTTATTTCAGAAAGCTTTGGTGAGGGATTAAACAATTCATCAGGTTACACTAAAGACACATCACAATCTTAGTTGTTCTGTGAGAGTTTAAAATTTTCATTTTTTATGTTGATCAAAATAACATTAAAAGTAATAATGATGATGACGATGATGGTGGTGATGATGGTGATGATAATGAGAGCTACAACAATAAGCTCCTTCTACTTTAGCACCCCCATTATTTATTGAACACTTACTGTTTTCAGCCTCCATGTAAAGTTTTGTATATATTAAGCTGTTCATTCTTTCCAATTTCCCTATAAGTAAAATCTTTTACAGGTCAGGCAACTTGCATGAGGGAACACAGGTAGCAAGGCAAAGCTAAGATGTGACTATAGATCCAACTAACTCAAAAGGGTCATTATCTATAACCTGTACCAAACTGTCTTTATTTTTTGGGTAAATTAAGATTTGAAGAAGCCCATTTCAATCAGAGTTGCCAGTGCTGGCCATCCTTTTCATCTGGGGACTACCATCTTAAAGTTAAGGGCATTTTTACTTACATGATTGTTTGAATTATTTGGCATAATTAATTAATAAATTTATTATTTAACATTTTCTATATTTAGAAAATATTTGAGGCTCACAAAAATTCTGTGAAGTTTTAGTACCTCCACTTGCAGAATAAGAAATGAAGATTCATAGAAGTTAGTAACAGAGGTAGTCAGTGGCAGAGATTGAAGTGAAAACCTGGTATTCTGATTCCAAGCCATGTATTATTTTCACTGTAATTTACTACTTCTTATTTTTTTTAATCAAATGTCTCTAGAAATAAAATTAAGACTATTACCTAAATGTTCTTTCAGGTTTTTGCCATTTTCTTCCTACCATAAAAATAAAAAGTACATCCCGACAATGCATTTATCAAGCAAGTATGGTCCTGATGCTTATGGAAGTCAACATTTCCGAGATGAAAATCCTAAGAAATGGATCTGTGACAAGGTGAGTTGATGCAACATTAAAAAGAAAGTAGTGTTTCTTTTAAAAGGCTAAAAATATACACTGATTATAGCAAATATAAATATTCTCATTACGACTAACACCATGGTTACAAAATTATTTATAGCTATTTTATGTGAAGATAGTGCTGCTTACTATGTCAATAAGAGATTTAAGTTTTTCGTGGGTTTTGTTTTTTCTTTTTTGATGTTGTGTTCTTGTGTTTTATGGTTCAGCTACCCTGTGATCAAATGGCATGGATCATTAGCTTTGGCAAAGTCAATTAGGGTCAGAGTCTGAATCTGTGCAATAGAGTTAAGCTAACTCTCAGGCATGGAGATCAGTGCTTTCCTGCTTTCTCTCAATCTCTGTGTGTATGTAGATAGGTAGGTAGGAAGGAAGGAAGGAAGGAAGGGAGGGAGGGAGGGAGGAAAGAAAGGAGGAAGGAAGGGAGGGAGGGAGGGAGATATATGTGATATCCTATCTATATATATGGTATAGAAAAGAAAAAAGCAAATAAATATTTATTTTCTGATTCCAGAATTATAGTTGCTAGCACTTAAATAAAAATTTCTAGATTGCGAAAACACTCACATGTCTTACACTATAGGAGGTAAAGAGGAAAGTTCTTACTATGTGTTTAACCTATTGTCTAGCAGTTAGAAACTCAAACTTATTCATGCTAAAATTATACAGATAAAATGAAGTAGGCAGTGATTTTCTGGAAGGGGGTTAGGGCTCTTGAGTTCCATATACTACCAGGCCTATTTCTATTAATAGTCTGTCAATGAGAATTTATTCATTTACACACAGTCTCCAACCAAAAGGATTTAAGGCACCTTATCAAATGGCAAATACAGCACAGGTCATATTCTAGAAATTTAAATGAGGGGAAACAATCTTAGATAAGAAGACTGGCTGTGCACACAAAATAAAGGGGGACTGAGTATGGTGGGAAGTGACTTAGGAATTGAGCCTGTGGGTGGCAAAGATGCAGAGAACACAAGTTGCAGAGGCATCCTCACTATTCAAGAGGAAAAGATACATTAGACCCTTAAGGGAAACAAGATCTTTCTCTACCAGATTCTAAGAAAATTTCTTTTTTTAAGGACATTTAAAATATAGGAATGTCAAAGGGAGCTCATGCTGGGGAGTAACTTGGATTCTTTGGAAAGTGCCTTTTTCTTTTACAGCTACTAAGTCTTTTATTATTTTTTTTTAAATGGTCTTCTAAAACACTAAATAGTAATTCCATGGCATAAGAAATACAAGGAGTAGTTCAATCTGGTCCACTGATTGAAAAACCTAAAAGTTGATAACAATATTATTTCATAAAAATCCATGGTAAGACTATTCTAGGCATTTGTTTTTACCTAATATGCAACCATTCAATATATAGGTTTAATATGATTTTTAAACTATTTAATTTTGTATTTTGAATGTACATAATGTGATCTACCTCTCATTTTTCTATTTGACGTAAAGTTTTGTGGGGTTTTTTTTTGCTGTTATGCCCTCACCATCCTATTTAATTCAAGGAAATTCTCATTTCTTTAAAATTTAAATGACTTACCTACCTTAGGACATCAAGCTACTTCAGAGTAAGAAAAATCCTTGTGCCAATGTTTCTTTCCTAAAATAATACAGTACTTTTTGGTTTTATGCAACAGGTTCATTCATATATTTTGACATATTCTAAGACTATGCATTTATCTAACTGAAGTAAGCAACTTGCAGAAATTCTCGGATACTCACTAAAAAAAAAATGTTTATTTTGTTCTTTTGGAGGAATCATTGTGTGTCTCTGTATACATTTAGAAAGTACACATACTTGAAAAGTTAATGACAAATAATTGTTCTTGCAGACCCTGAAAACTAAGACAAAAAGTGTAGGGATTCTTTATGTCTTAATAAATCATTAATCCACTTGCACAAAACCACATAGAAAAATATTAAATACAAATTTAAATTTCTCCCTCTCCTCCTCATATCCTTCTTCCCCCTTCTTCCGATCTCTTAAAATAACCATATTAGATGAACAAATTATTCCTGTGTTGCCAATAGATTCTACAGAATATAAGGGTAGTCATTCTGTTGTTTACATGAAAATATTTTATGTTTTGATTTGCTGAAAGCGATTTGGTTGAGACTTGTGCCCAATAAATAACTAAAAGCAGGCTTATTTTTCTTTATTTTATATAAAACTTTGTTTCTTGACCTTGGAGTTGTGAGACCATCACTTACTCATATTAGTAGATGAAGAATAGTTTTAGTGAGTTGTTGAGTTCAAAATGTTGGAGAAGGAAAAGACTGGTGTAGTTTTATGCTTCTATTGGAAGATGGACTATTTACAAATATTTAAGTGCAAATAAGATTTAGTTCAATGCAGTAGATTCACTTCAGCCAAGAAACAGCTCAATTAAATACATTTGGTTCCTGATCTCCACCCTTTCCATCATGTTTTAAGAGTGTCTGCCTGAAGAATTTTCTTTCTCTTCTGTCATCTTTAAGCATGGAGGTTATAATTTACAGATGATTTGCTACACAACTGGGATAAAGGGTATCAGTTGAGAGAAAAATCATGTTTTCTTTCTCTAACCATATTCACATTACATCAATTAATAATCAAATAGTACTTAATATTTTGTATTATTTTTAATTTTATTAATATGAAGAACACTATACAAAGACATCACAAAGTCAGCAGATTGCAAGCAAATATTACTTTTTCCCAAAATTATGAAAATCAATAATGAAAAATAATATATATATATCATTTTTTTAAACATCTTTATTGGAGTATAATTGCTTTACAATGGTGTGTTAGTTTCTGCTGTATAACAAAGTGAATCAGCTATACGTATACATATATCCCCATAACTTCTCCCTCTTGCGTCTCCCTCCCACCCTCCCTATCCCACCCCTCTAGGTGGTCACAAAGCACTGAGCTGATCTCCCTGTGCTAGGCAGCTGCTTCCCACTAGCTATCTATTTTACATTTGGTAGTGTATATATATCCATGCCACTCTCTCACTTCGTCCCAGCTTACCCTTCTCCCTCCCCATGTCCTCAAGTCCATTCTCTACATCTGCATCTTTATTCCTGTCCTGCCCCTAGGTTCTTCAGAACCATTTTTTTTTTTTTTTTTTTAGATTCCATATGTATGTGTTAGCATATGGTACTTATTTTTCTCTTTCTGGCTTACTTCACTCTGTATGACAGTCTCTAGGTCCATCCACCTCACTACAGATAACTCAATTTCGTTTCTTCTTAAGGCTGAGTAATATTCCATTGTATATGTGTGCCACATCATCTTAATCCATTCATCTGTCGATGGACACTTAGGTTGCTTCCATGTACTGGCTGTTGTAAATAGAGCTGCACTGAACACTGTGGTACATGACTCTTTTTGAATTATGGTTTTCTCAGGGAATATGCCCAGTAGTGGGATTGCTAGGTTGTATGGTAGTTTTTAGTTTTTTAAGGAACCTCCATACTGTTCTCCATAGTGGCTGTATCAATTTACATTCCCACCAACAGTGCAATAGGGTTCCCTTTTCTCCACACACTCCCCAGCATTTATTGTTTGTAGATTTTTTGATGATGGCCATACTGACTGGTGTGAGGTGATACCTCACTGTAATTTTGATTTGCATTTCTCTAATGATTAGTGATGTTGAGCATCCTTTAATATGTTTGTTGGCAATCTGTATATCTTCTTTGGGGAAATGTCTGTTTAGGTCTTCTGCCATTTTTGTATTGGGTTGTTTGTTTTTTTGATATTGAGCTGCATGAGCTGCTTGTATATTTTGGAGATTAATCCTTTGTCAGTTGCTTCATTTGCAAATATTTTCTCCCATTCTGAGGGTTGTCTTTTTGTCTTGTTTATGGTTTCCTTTGCTGTGCAAAAGCTTTTAAGTTTCATTAGGTCCCATTTGTTCTTTTTTGTTTTTATTTCCATTTCTCTAGGAGGTGGATCAAAAAGGATCTTGCTGTGATGTATGTCATAGAGTATTCCGCCTATGTTTTCCTCTAAGAGTTTTATAGTGTCTGGCCTTACATTTAGGTCTCTAATCCATTTTGAGTTTATTTTTGTGTATGGTGTTAGGGAGTGTTCTAATTTCATTCTTTTACATGTAGCTGTCCAGTTTTCTCAGCACCACTTATTGAAGAGACTGTCTTTTCTCTTTTCTCCATTGTATATCCTTGGCTCGTTTGTCATAGATGAGTTGACCATAGGTGCGTGGGTTTATCTCTGGGCTTTCTATCCTGTTCCATTGATCTATATTTCTGTTTTTGTGCCAGTACCATACTGTCTTCATTACTGTAGCTTTGTAGTATAGGCTGAAGTCCGGGAGCCTGATTCCTCCAGCTCCGTTTTTCTTTCTCCAGATTGCTTTGGCTGTTCGGGGTCTTTTATGTTTTCATACAAATTGTGAAATTTTTTGTTCTAGTTCTGTGAAAAATGCCATTGGTAGTTTGATAGGGATTGCATTGAATCTGTGGATTGCTTTGGGTAGTATAGTCATTTTCACAATGTTGATTCTTCCAATCCAAGAGCACATCTTTGTATCATCTTTAATTTCTTTCCTCAGTGTCTTATAGTTTTCTGCATACAGGTCTTTTGTCTCCTTAGGTAGGTTTATTCCTAGGTATTTTATTCTTTTTGTTGCAATGGTAAATGGGAGTGTTTCCTTTATTTCTCTTTCAGATTTTTCATCCTTAGTGTATAGAAATGCAAGAGATTTCTGTGCATTAATTTTGTATCCTACTACTTTACCAAATTCATTGATTAGCTTTAGTAGTTTTCTGGTGGCATCTTTAGGATTCTCTATGTACAATATCATGTTATCTGCAGACAGTGACAGCTTTACTTCTACTTTTCCAATTTGGATTCCTTTTATTTCTTTTTCTTCTGTGATTGCTGTGCCTAAAACTTCCAAAACTGTGTTGAATAATAGTGGTGAGAGTGGACAGCCTTGTCTTGTTTCTGATCTTAGAGG